CAGCAGCCACCCCAAGCCCTGCCACACTCGTGCTGCACCTCCCTCACCACTCACACACGTTCCCCAAGCCTTGCTGAGTTCACACCATGTCTCCCCCCCACCAGCACATCCCCTCACACCCTCTCCTAACTGGCAACAACCACTTACCTGCCTGTCAGCCTGCTTGCAAGCCTCCTGGGTCTTGCAACTTCCTGCCACCTTCCAACAACCAAAGTCAGTGGGGAAGCCAGCAGGAAGTTGCAAGACCCAGGAGGCTTGCAAGCAGGCTGACAGGCAGGTAAGTGGTTGTTGCCAGTTAGGAGAGGGTGTGAGGGGATGTGCTGGTGGGGGGGAGACATGGTGTGAACTCAGCAAGGCTTGGGGAACGTGTGTGAGTGGTGAGGGAGGTGCAGCACGAGTGTGGCAGGGCTTGGGGTGGCTGCTGCCAGCTGGGGGAGGGTACACAAGTGGCAGAGGAAGTGCAGTGCAAGATTAGCAGGGCTCGGGAGGGTGCGTGAGGGTGTGCGTATGGTGGGCGAGGCACAGCACAAGTGCAGAGGGGCTGGGGGAGGATGCATGGGTGGGGGAGACGTACCCAAGCAACTTGTGACCTTTCCTGCCAGCTTCTCCATTGACTTTGCTTGTGGGAAGCTGGCAGGGAAGGTTGTAAATTGTGATCATGTGACCATGGGATGCTGCAACTGTCCTAAGTGCAAGCTCGTTGCCAAGCACCATGGGGGTCCTGGGACGGCTGGAACTTCAAGGACAGGTAACCACCCTCACTCAGTACCATCATAACTTTGAACGGTCGCTAGTGGTCGTTAACCGAGGACTACCCGTAATAGTAAGATGGGCTGGTAGAACTTCCAGAAAAAAAGCTAACTCACTAATCAGAATGTGTTAATTTGGTTCCTATAAAATTTCATTTCATGTAGATGGGAAATCAAAATTAAGACTTCTCTGTAGACCTTAAAAATGTGGAAGTTAATATTACTACTCTACAGTATTGATTTAAAAATTATAAGCAGCCTTTGTCTGCCCCATAGTGGTTAACAGATGCAACTGCAAGTAATAGTTCATGCACATTTTTGCTGTTATAAATTGTACCTAAAACTGCTTCCAAAGTAATTAAGAGAACCATTTAAAATTGTAAAATACTGCAATAAAATATAAAACATAGTTTTAAAACTTGAAATACTTCTTTAAAGAAACAGCTTCAAAATCCAGGAAATAATCATTGACATATTTGAATAAGTAAGTATTCAAAATCTAAAGCATGTCTCTTTCTCACACATGCTTAATACAAAATGTTTAGGGCCTTTATATGTGTAACAGATGCCTTCAACTGACTTATTGTAGCAACAAATAGCATTTGTGAGGTACTGCATTGAAACTGTCATCAACTTTTACTATCAATAACTAGGGTGTCATCACCATTCTTAGATCTCTTCCTATATGTAGCACACAACAGTAACTAATACAGAAAGATACTAGGATAGGTTTCCACTTGCATCTGAATTATTGGAGTACATAATCCAAATTGTTAATGGGTAGCATAAAAGGACAATCAAAATTTCTTCTTTTCTCTCCAACTCACCATGGCTCAATATCTGTCTTGTCTTTCAGGATTTTTTGGTAGTATATTTGGATTGATGGGCGTGTACATTTATGATGGAGAACTTGTATCAAAGAATGGATTTTTTCAAGGTTATAACAAGCTTACTTGGATAGTTGTAGTTCTGCAGGTAATGCATCCAGTATTACATTTTATCAACTGGGCTTGTGTTCCTACGAGATACCAATACTGAAATTACCATTGTGAGTTATGCTCTGGGACATATGATTGATTTGTTCAACTAATACTTTAAAATCTTTTGATCTGTTTAACAAGGTAGGGAAAGCATGCTGGGCATGGCTTTGGGAATTCTTTCCAACCCCTTAACAGCAGTTCCACTCTAGGTCCCATGACAAGGCAGAGGGGTCTTAAAGAAGAGAGCATGCAGAGAATGGTTTCTGAAGTTCTCTCCAGCCCCTTTACCAGCACTGGCTGTAGGATGTGTCTGTGTTTTCTTCAGTGTAATGAAGTAACCTATTGTGTGTCTCTCTGTGTTTTGTCTTTCTCCTCGTGATTGGGTTTATATGTATGTATGTATGCATTGGGAAGCAGAGAGCAGGCCTCACATGCTCCACTCTGAGTCATGTGACCAGAAGTGGGGGCTTAGAATAGAGCAGTCAACAGCATTCTGAGTAACCGTCCAACTGCCTGTCCTGTGATACCTGAGATATTTTTTTCTGGAATGTTTTTCTCCATTTTTAAGCCGAGTCTTTTTTTTTTGCCAGTTTCTCCCACCATACCAAAATTGAACTTGTTCTGTTCAGGTTTTGGAAGGTTATCCCAAAGACAAAGTTCCAATATTCCATTGGGTTGGAAAGAATCAAAAGCTGTCCCAGTTAATCTGGCACATTAATTTTTAATGAATTGTTTTAATATAAATACTTACAAGGTAAGTCCACTGTCCCTCAGCACAAATTATGGATGCCAGTTATCTGAAAAATGACCTTCTCTTTCTTGGTAACCAGAAATTGAGCTGATAGGAGAGGGTTTAACTTTGTCTCTTCTAGTTAGAAGTAGGACTTAAGATTTCCTGTCAGTGGAGGAAAGCTTCTCCCTTCAGTTCTACACTCTGCCTTCTAGGAAGAGGCAGTGGCTAGCTTTCCTGCTGGCTCCATTTTGAGAGCCAAGAAGAGGGAGGGTTGGAAAGAAGTTTTTAAAAAGGGAAACTAACATCATTTTAGAAAGGAAGTTAGTGCTTTGCCATTATACAAAAGCGAGAGGTCACATAACACAGATAAGGAAGGAATGAGAAGAAACCATACAGAGATAAGACCCGCCAATTAGAAAATGAGAAATCAGGCTGTTCCTAATTAGGAAAGTAAAACTTCAGGATTTTAAAATTAGGCAAGGAATGGAATGCTTTTGGCTATCATCAATCACTTGGTAACTGGGCAGCTCCACTAACAGCCTTAACACCAGGAGTACCACTAATAAACATTAGTGGAGCAACTACCTGGTGGACTCATTTATCTTTATAAAACAATATAAAATAAATACATTTGTCTATAGGCCACACCATGTTACAAAGAGTACTTATAAACTGTTACAGTGACCCACATATAGTATTATCCTTTCCAGTTGGCTCCATTTGCAGTAACCAGAATGGTTGTTGAACTTACTGTGAAATACTTTTCTGGTCAGCATAAGATGAACCCTGCAATCCAATCCTATTTAAGATGGGGAGAAAATGAAGAAAGAAAGAAATCAATCAAGGGTCAAGATGCAAATTATTCAAAAAAAGGAGTTGAACCATACTCAGCTGTAATCACTGCATCTCACTGAAGGGAGGGGGTTTCCTCCATCATATAGGAAGAAGTTGCAAACCCTGCCTTTTAGACAGAAATGGCAGAATTAAACCTTTTCTGTGGGCCCAAAAAGGTACTTCCTGGTATGTCCAACTAATGTTTCCTCATATACAAAAAATAATGTTGGCACAGTGTATGTAGATTATCTAAATACACACACATTGTGTATTTAGGAGAAGCTATAAAATTTGGATGCTGTCAGAGATATTCTGGGGTCTGTTTTCAATTTTAATTTTTTTCTTTAATACATATAATACTTCCTCTGGATTTTTAAAAAAAGGTATTCAGGTACTATTTTACAGTATATAATTGCTATGCTTAAGAAGTATACCTGCTGCCAATATGCAGGCCAGTGACTCTAAAAGTAGATTACTGGGACAATGGACAAGTACTTAGCTCATATTTTACATTTTGTTAATTCTTAATTAACATTAGGAGTGTTAATCTATCCATATGTAGCTAGCTACTGCTCCAACTTGGAAGCAAAAGCAGAAGAGAATAAAAATTATAGGTCTGATAGAGACTTTAAAACGTGCAAAACTGGTTTTTATTTTGTGATACAATATAATACATCTTAATATTATATATTACTTTAGTAAAAAGTGCTTAGCTGATAAATCAGCCAGAATCAGTTAAATATCTGAATTAATTAAAAATACTGATAAGTTGGGAAATTCTTTTATATTAAACATATGTATAGGTAGTCCTTACTTGTTCAGCGCCTGTTCAAAGTTACGACAGTGCTGAAAAAAATAAGTTTATGGCCCATTTACGAACATATTTACAACCTATGTACGTTAGAAAAAGTTACCACGATGCTGAAAAAATAATTTTATGGCCCATTACAACCATTTGTGACTTACAATTAAGAGGAAGAGATTTCAAGAGAGTACTGTAAGTTGTTTGCATAATGCACCTGCAGCTCCCTGTCCTGGGCTGCCAGTGTGATTGCATTGCCCTTGATGTGTAGAAGAGCAAACAGCTTCCTCTCTTGAAATTGCTCTCTCTCCTATCTCTCCCCTGTGGGCGGGGGGGGGGGGGGAGAGAAAAAAGCAAGCAATTTCTATAGGCTGTCTCTCCTTTGCCAGACCCCCTCCCCCCCAGAGTAGAGAAATTGGAGACAAAGGGATTTCAAGAGAGTAAGCTGTTTGCGTAGCATGCCTGTGGCTCCCAGCCCCAGGCTGCGGCACAATTGCATTGCTCTCAATGTATACAGGTCAGTAAGCATTCCAAAGGGTGGGGTTAGGAGGCAAACAAAAGCCAAAGGTGTGAAACTGAGTAGTCTTATCTCTTTCCAGCTGGAAAGCACAGTCGCAGTTATGTATTTCCCACTTAGCAACCCCTTCACTTAGCAGTGGAGGTACTGATCTCAATTATAGTTGTTAAGCGAGGACTAGCTATAATACAATACTTATAAAAATCATGACTCTCAGGACTCATGCAGAATGATGAATAATAGATGCATATCACTTAGAAATAACGTAATCATTTTTTCTTCAGGATTTCTTTGCTATATGAAAAATGTGCATAGCAAGTTTCATCTGTTTAACCATTGAGATTCATAAAGTGACCACCAAATTTTCAATGTTTTGTCAGGCGCTTGGTGGCCTTGTTATAGCAGCTGTTATAAAATATGCAGACAATATTTTAAAAGGATTTGCTACATCTTTATCTATTATATTGTCAACATTAATCTCATACTTTTGGCTTCAAGATTTTGTCCCTACTAGGTAAGTTGTATTTTTAACTTTGTCTTTAAAAACACAAATGCCTTGTGCAAGTATAAATAAAACATAATTTAAACTGAATTTAAATGCTTTGATGAGTTTATCAACTAAACATTTTACAGTGTAATAGAGGAACTACCTTTTGTGGAGCAATACTGCACATGTCAACTCAAACATACATCCAGTTCAGTTCAGTGGGGTGGATTTACTCTGAATAACTGTATATAAGGAAGGAGGTTTAACACACATATTTTTCTTGCTACTTTCATCCACAACTTATTAACTGCGTTTTGCTTACCAGATTTTGATGGTACAATGTGGGGGTAGGATGGTGGTCTGGAAATGTCTTGAAAGAAACATACAATGTGTGGGTTGCCTGCTTTTGGTCTACAAAATATTAAGCTAAATAGATCAGTTGTTTCAGAATAAGGCAGCTTTTTATGTAATTATGGCTGAATGTAAATTAATTTTTATGTTTATCAATATTATTGATATTATGATTAATATATTTCTTTCATAGCCTGAAAACAGAATATATAAATAAAATATCTACAGTGCATTTGCATTCAAAGGGAAACAAAAAGAAAATGTTTTCCTCCAATACTATCTATGAAATTACTTGCATTTTGAAGTTAGTTCTAATGCTGTCAGAGTTTTGAATCTACAAGCAGTATCAGCCATTCTCTTCAGCCTGATCTTCTATATAAAATATAGAAGATAGACCAAATATAAAAATATATTCTTTTTAATTTGCCTCTTGGTTTCTGCCATTACACAGAACGTGCTTCACAGCAAAAGTCTAAATTAAAGTTGTTTTGGGTCAATTTTATCTCAGAAAAAAAGACTGGACTGACACTATCTATATAACTCGAGAAAATATTTTAGTTCTTCTTCATTCTTATTCTTATTCCTTTGCAAATCCTTTAAGTAGCCAGGCTTCAGTGTAGAAAAGTTAGAAATGTACTTTTAAAAAAATTGTAAAAGAGGAAAAAATGTTAATGAACATTTGATTGTAAAATACCATATATAAAAACATGAGTTTTTCCCCAAAACAACAACTTGTGCATTGAGTGGGTACCTTACATTCATTGATAAGAATAGAAGAAGCTGTTGGAAACAAAAGAATTAGCAGTAACTATGGATGTCTTTTAAATTAGCCTGGGATGTGCTGTTTCCCTGGTGAATTTAACCCTTTTTGCAATGGGTTATAATGCAGAATTTTCTCTCTCCCTTTCTTCTCTATTGAGTTACTTCTAATAGAGGTGAATATGTCTATTGAGTTACTTCTTTCCCTTTCCTCATTTCCATCCATTTCTCCTTTATCTTTCCCCTTACATAATTTCCACCTGTTTCTTTTTTCCTTTGTTTTCACTGAAAGAAAGGAGCATCTTTGGGTATATACTTTGTTTTGTGTCTTGTGTCTGAGAGACAGTGGTTGATATATACAGATGAAGACCAACATTATAGATAGGGTACCTTATTTTACAGACAATTATTTTTAATTAGTAGTTAGGATTCTGGCAATTGCATATACATAGACAGACCCAAAGGCGTGGCACATAGAATTTGGGAAGCAAAATTTTCCAGGACTGGTTTCAGTTGAAGTTGGAAACCCTAGATTGACAAAGTAAAAAAGTTTAATATTGCATAAGGTTTTTCTCTATGTTTATAATTCTACTCTTCCTCTTCTGTGGAATTGTCTTAAATTTTTTTTTTTTTCAGGAAAATAATATAAATGTTTTTTTAATTGTTGATTCCCTTTCTCGGTGCCTGGAGGCTGTGGGGATCTGGATGGGGAACAACAGGCTTCAGCTGAATCCTGGCAAGACTGAGTGGCTGAGATTTGAGGGCCTTCTGTATTCACCATCTTTGGTGCTGGGTGGAATTGCATTGCCCCAGATAAACCCGGTGTCCGGTCTGGGGTCTTTCTGGATTCATGACTCCTGCTCAAAGAGCAGGTGGCAGTCATGGCCAGGAGGGCCTTTGCACAGCTTCATGTTGTGCACCAGTTGCATCCATTCCCAGATCAGGAGGCTCTACTCTCAGTCACTCATGCCCTAGTTACCTCCCAAATGGATTACTGTAGTGCACTCTACATGGGGCTGCCATTGAAGAGTATCTGGAAGCTTCAGCTGGTGGAAGATGCAGTGGCACAGACAGTTATGGGCAGTCTAAGAACTGCACACGTGAGCTGAATTGGTTGCCAGTTTGCTTTGGGTCCAATTCAAGGTGCTGGTTATGACCTTTAAAGCTCTACATGACATGGGACAAAGTTATTTGAGGGACTGCCTCTCCCTGGTCACATCTATCCATCCCACAAGGTCTGGCAGAAGAGGCATGTTATGGGTCCCCTTCAGCTAGGGAGTTTTGTCAGGCAGGACCTAGGAGGAAAGCCTTTTCTACCATGCCTCCCACCTTGTAGAACATCCTTCCCCCTGAAGTGAGGCTGGCTCCAACCCTCCTGGTCTTCTGGAAGGCCCTCAAAACATGATTTTGTCAACTGGCCTGGGGGCCCATGATAGAGTGGAGCCTGCTAGATGGTTACATGATGGTTGACTGAATGCACTCTGGGTTTTTTGCCAATTTGTTTTTATCTTTTTAATTTATTCTGATTGTATTTTAATTGGTTTTTATCTATTTGGATTGTTTTATTGTGTACGTCACCCAGAATCACTATGTGAGATGGACAGCTATATGAATGAATGTGATAAATAAATAAATGGGATAATACCTATTTTACGAACATACAAAACATATATATTCTAAACATGTATTCTCTTTCTTTTGTCTTTAGTGTTTTTTTTCTTGGAGCTGTTCTGGTAATAGTTGCTACATTCTTATATAGTTATGATCCAAAGCCAACAGGAAATCCTATTAAAGCATAACAGAGTCTTCCATGTCATACTATTTTGCCAAGATTGTGCAAAAAGGACTTCTAAATACTGTTTGGATGATTATCAAGCACTGAAAGAGTTTATACTGTATCAGAAGAATGATGTTAAATAACAGTTAAATTTGCAAAACAATCTCTGGAAAAGAAGGAAAGCCCAGAGCAAAACGTGAAAGGAATTTGTTGCTTCTAGAACCTGGAACTAGAAGTGCTTTCAGCTTGAACTCTGAAGTTAAATCAGAACAATTTACTATTTTCAACAGCTGCAGAAATGTCCTATGCATTCTCCTTGCAAGAGCACGTGACATTTGTTAAATCATATCTGTTTTTGCAAGCTATTTCATCTTTTCTAATTTTATATGAATGCGGGTGTGTGTATATGTATGTGTATGTATACACACACACACACAGACACAAGTATCAAAGGGAAATAAGATTGTGTTCTACAGTAGCCTTTCCCGAACTGATGTCCTCCAGAAGTGTTGGAGTTTACATTCTGTAACCCACCAAACAGTATAGCCACTCACCAGGTTGGGTAGAAGATTATGGAGTCAAAGGGTAATACATCTGGAGGGCATTTGTTTTGTGAAGAAGGTTTGATGATGATGTTTCAGATAAGTATTCCTGTTCAAAACCAATGAAGTACCGTTGAATCATTGTCGTTTGTAGATTTATAATATTTTATATAGAAAACAGTTAATTCACTGAAATTGATGTTGTAAAATGTACTGATGTAAATGTCTTATAATAATTCTTGATAAATTCTGCAAGAGGAAGAATTTAATATTTTAATTCATTTAGAAGCTTTGTATGTATGAATGTCACAAACTCTGCTGCTGCATCATTCTCATTTTTTCAAATGAGACCCTCACCAATTAGAAGCAGCATAGCTATAGTATCTGGTACTTGTTCCATATTAGGTGAATGGCCATTGTACGTTGCCATAACTGATACTGAATATGTGTTTATTTGTTCAGAGAACAATTCCTTTACTTGATAAGAACATTCTTGTAATTTACTGACAATACATTTCATTGCTTAAAATCTTAATTTGAAAATATTTTTAAAATGTATTTTTTAAAAGTAGCCATATAACTATATAAAAGTATTATAGTTCCTTTTGGAGCCACAGTAGTATATTAATATGTATATACTGTACTATAATATAGAGCTTTAAAAAAAATCTGGAAAAATTATGTAACGAAAGTGGCTCTGTCCAGTCTTGAAATCCCATTGTTAGAATACATGCTAATTGTATTAACCAAGATTTGAAGAATGTTACTGTGCAATAAATATTAGGCATGAATTGTTCAGGTGTGTGTGCAGGAATTGCCTTAAAGCCCAGTGGAACCCTCTTTGCTCTTCACTGAATATAAAACTTGAAATAACTTCTAAGCTCGGGTCCAGGTTGCATGAGGTCCCATTCCAGGTAATTGCTTTCAGTGCAGAAGAGCTTCACTGGCAAAGTGGCAAGCCTTTATGAGCCCAAAGGGCTATAGTCACACCAATAGGGATTATACCCAGACTATTTTGGAAGGTTCAAATGTTTAAATATATCCAGAGAAATTAAGATAGTGGCATGCTCTGTGAAAGCTGCTTATATACGTTTGCTTGGATAATGGTAGTACATCATTGAAATCCTCATGGAAATTGCTGCTGAGAAATTATGACTGTAATCATGGAAGTCATTCTGGCATTTCATGATTCTCCATGCAGATGTCTGTAACAGCTGAGCTGCACTGAAAGTGGAACTCTTTATTTCTAACACACTGTAGGCCAGTCTGTCCTAAATGCTTATAAAATATATCACAATAAAGTAATGTCTACGCTGCATCTCCCTCTAACCCATATGCATCTTTTAATAACTATAGTTCTTCTGAAATTTAAAACTCATAGAAAACTTAGTTGTTTGATAAGACTAAGAATTTTAGATTTTTCCTGGAAATCTCAGAGTTATACAGTACTAGAGGGGTTTTTTTTAGTGAACGACAATGAATTCAGCTAAAGGTTCCTAACCCTTTTGCATTAGTTACATTTGGGTTTATGAATTTATGTCATGATTGGTTTCCTGTAGGAGGAGGATCATGGGAAAGGGGCTTCCATAGGAGAGAGGCTTGCCCTTTCACAAAATGATTCCAATATTTTAAAGTTTAAAAAATTTAAAGATGAGGCAAGGTATCTGGTGTGTGTTTGTGGCTGTGTAGATACCCATAGCAACTACATGCAGTCCCTGAGAGTTTATTTGATGATAATTGAGTGAGTGTATATGTGTGTGTGTATATATATGTGCGCGCGTGTGTGCATGTGTGTGTGCATATATATAATTATGTATGTATGTATGTATGTATGTATGTATGTATGTATGTAAGGGGGCAATTCAACACTATACTTCTATGAACGGAAGCAGTTTCTGCTAATGGAATGGAAGAGGGTGGATTCACTTTCCTCACTCCATAACCCAAGCTGCATCCTTAAAATCCTCTGGAACTTAAAAAGTTTTAAGTTCCAAAGTGGAGTCTGAGGTCAGACAGAATAGCTGTAGGAGAGTCAGAGGAAAAAGTACCATTCTGCTAGCAGATATCTGCTAACAGACAGTGGTGTTTTTTTTTTTATCAAATATAGGAAAAGTGTTGTGGTAAGTGTAGCACTACTGATGTCTAAAACAAATGATGAACAAATTTAAAAATGAAATATTCTTGCAGTATCTCCACTGGTAATGGTTAGTGGTGTAAGTAATTTATTATTCAAATAGTGGTGTTAAAAAAGAAATAAAATGTTTACAATGGCAAAGAATTGTCAAATGTATTCCAAATGGCAGATGTAACTTCTCCAATTATATATAATAGAACTAGAAAAATGTTGTGCAATTTTGACGGATGTGTAAGTCAGTTTTTCTTATGGGTTAACCAACCCTATGCCTCATTAGTGCTTTTTTTTTTTTAATGTTATCTGAAAACTGAAAAGATGAGGGTTTCTCAGTCAAACTGCGTTAAAAAAAACAATTAAGTTTTTTTTTTACGAATTAATTACAAACATTTCCAAAGATTGAAGCCCAATCAGGTGTGGGAGGAGAATGACCTTAAGGAACAATGTGCAGTTTGCATCAATAAATTACTGTTTAAATTGTTTGTGTTCTGACTCTACAATATTTATAACTTTTAAACTCTGTTTTACATATGAGGTGTGAGGTATGTGATAGATCAGGACTATTTTGCCTTTGAATGCAGATCCCCAAGCCATTACTAAATTGATATCATGGCAATCAACTAATACAATGTCTAGAGCAGGGACTCACCATACATTGCGCAACCTCTTCCATAAATCGAAACACCACACACTATATTTCTTTTCTACACTGTTGTCCTGCTCTTCCAGAGTTCAGAAATCAAGAAATCTAAGTTACCAATGTAATAGGCAACAGTTTTCTATTCACTATTGTACTGCTTCAATCTTCCATGATTCTAACTTTAAACATTAACTGCAATATTGAAAAACAAGGGATAGCTTAATGATGGAGTCAGTATTTATTAACAATGGCTAGAGAAACATTTATATAAATGTAAGAAATTCTTCCATTTCTATAGGAGCATCACTATTTCCTATGGCATCATCCCATACCAATATTGATGCAGTATGGGTATAGGAAGTAACGCCATCATTGGCTATCTTACTATTTGGAACAAAGAAATATCAGACTCATAAGTAGCATAATAACAAATGATTAAATACATGCCCTTCATATGTAAAGGTCTGATGCCATGCAACAGCAGCCAATTTCAATCACTGCCTGATTAGAAACAGGCTTTATTCATCCTGTAAATTCTACAACAAATCTACAACATAGCCAAGCCGCTATTTAAAAAAAGATCAAAACAAGCCACTATAGTAACAAATGACAGGGTCTTGTTTGGGTTCACATAATTATGTGCTAATTCATATATTTTAAAAACTCTTATTATTTCTGGAATCAGCCTTGGGAATGAGTATGCTGATTATAGCATACAACTGATGAATAATGAGTACTGTATATTAATTCATTTTTATAACTTAATATAAATACTTAGGTTTGATTTCTAATCATCATGAGGCCGTAATGTCAATATGAATGAAGTGAGAAGAGCAACAAGACTAAATAATAGCCAATTATTTAATTACTCTGTCATGTACATCAATATCAAATCTTGAAATGGGTAGTTTTAGGCTAATAACTAAGAAAAGCAGCCTCTTACTGAACAAATTGTTGGATTCATTTCTGAATGGCATTAGTCATTATAGTGCCTTATCATTTGTCATAATGGGCACATTGCCTACTATAAATTCAAAATTCCACAAGTCACTAGCAAGGCTAGCATCCACTACCCTAATGGAATAATATTCCATTGGAATCTCTCGCCTGAAGATTTAGGTTGGGCAGCCAAGAAAAAAAACAAATGGATCATCAAACATAACCCAGAGTTCTCACTCAAGACACAAATGACCAGACAGAAATTATCCTATTTTGGACACTTATGAGAAGACTTAGCTCTCTAGAGAAGGCTCCAGTGCTGGGAAAGGTGGAAGGAAAGAGAAGAAGAGGATGACCAGCAGCAAGGTGGATAGACTCAGTCACAGCAGCAGTGAGTGCACTGTTGGAAGAGCTGAAGAACCAAGTTAGGGACTGTCATGGCCAGCTCAGACTCAGAAGATGAAGAGGAGTTAAAGGAGGATCATCAGTCTGAGGGGATTCAGCTGGAAGGGTTGCAGGCAGGGAAAGCACCATTGCCTAACAACCAGGAGAGGCAACCATTGCTGGTCTCTGAAGACGAAGAGGCAGAGCTAACACCTCCCCCCAATGCAAGGACCCACCACAAAGAAAGGAGGGCTGAACAAAGGCACTCAGCAAGACTACTGGCCAGAAAGAACCCTGCCCTGCAAAAGGAACAAATCCAGGTCACGCTATGCCTATAATAAGGAAAGCCAAGCACCTCACAGATCCATCGGCGACAACTCTCTATTTACCTCACCATTGTGTTCCTTCACTCCCTAGCCTGCCTTCTCAAGTAATGACCCTGAAACCTCATACCACATTTGTTTGGCCCTCTAGTACCTTATTAATGATTTGAACTCTTTCTTGTCTCTAAGCTGGTTTTTTGTGGTCTGGATATTTGGGGTGTGAGGGACTACGACTGATTGTTCAAACCTTTCTGCCATTAGAATTCTGTTATAAAACATTTTTAGTAAAGATATAAGATTTACCTGTGCGTCTCTGAATTCCGTGGGCTGGGACAAACAGGGACAGATCATCATGGAGAAAATCTATGTGGTCGCTAAGAATCAACAACAATTTGATGGCATATAATCAATCAAGTATAAATTATAATGCACTGGGGAAAATATGCCTCATGGACTTGGGCAACACTGGTCTTCATTAAAAACTGGTTTGTGTGATTGTCCCATGGCTTTAAATAAATTTATTTTTGGTCTTAAATTTTCCTAATGATGCATGGCCAGAACATCATCAAGGTGCACATGAGAAGATGGAAAGATACAGCATTACAATATGTGCAATCACAGTCAATGAAAGTCCATGTTATTCTATTGAAATATTCGTTTATAATGTATGCTTCTACATAATCCAGGTAATCTAATAAATCCATGATCAGTAAAAAAAGAAAATGGCTATGTATGCCCCATCAGACTTAAAAGGAATTGTATTAAGTTATTCTCCACTCTATATGTATTCAATTTTGCTTATCTCTTTAGAACTTTTGATCTTCAAATTTCAGTACAGCTTATGAAATATAGAAATAATGAAGAGAGGGGATTTTGGCAAGTCTGCTAACATGAAATAACATCCGTGAAAAACCACATAAACTAAAATTGCTGTCCACAAACATTTAATGTAGTTTATTAGATTTGTATCCCTTCTTTCAACCAGGAGCTCTAGGTAGCAGATATAGCATTCTCTCATCCATTTTTCTCCCTCACAACAATCCTGTATGATAAGTTAGGCTGACAGAGCACGACCGTCCCATGGAAATTCCACAGGAAAGGTACACATGAATGTGGGTCTCTTCAGCCTAGCCCAAGACTTTACTGTACTACATTTATTTATGACAGTGTGAGCTGGTACAATTTACATGTTGCATGTAACACATTTTCCCAAATCAGAAAGAAATCAAAACATGCTTATGGACTTCATTCAACAGTACAAATTATGGGCAAGTTCTCCAACTATCCTTGTACAAAAGATAGTTCATGGGGATTTTCTCAAACTTTCCCCTCAGCATACTTTTATGCTGTCAGTTGTAAGCAAATACCATAAATGCCTTCCTTAATCATCTGTACTGAGGACAGAAACTGGTATACCAATCAATAGATAAGATAGCCAATTTCTCCCATAGCCGCCTTCTTGGGCCTGAATCAAACACTGGGCCTGAATCAAACACAGAACCAAACACTCTGTCAACCCCAACATCCTGGACCAAACACATTAAATCTGCATCCATGCAGGTCAACTTGTGACAAGTGCCATCCTTTGATTTTCTACCTGCAATAGTGGCCACTACCAAAATCTTCAGACTTAAGGTAGTAAGCTATCTGTTCTATGGTACACACATTGGCAATTATCACAATGTGGCTTCTAAGTGCTTGATTCAAATTTCTAAGGCCCCTACTTTGTGTGCCCATAGCTAATGCTTATAAAGAGTTGAATTAAGCCTGACCTTATTAGAGTCCAATTCTAACTATGCTGTCTGAAATAATGACTCAAATTTGTTTTCTTTGAAAGTACTGCTGCTGCTGTGACCTACAAGGTAACTTGGCTTCCTCCCAGCTAATTGAAATGAAGTT